ATCAATGTCTCGTACACATGCTTCCACTTTCATCCGAGCAAGCTCTAGATCGCCAACAACATCGGTCTTGAAGGATAAATAGATCTGTAGGTCATCTGCATAACAGTGAAATGTCACTCCATGATGCCTCATGATGTGACCCAGAGGGGTAGTATAGAGCAAATATAATACAGGGCCAAGTACGGACCCTTGTGGAACACCGCTGGTCAAGGCGTGGCTAGATGAACGCTCAGTATTTATCGCAACACATTGCTTTCGACCAGTCAGATAAGATGTAAACCAGTTATGAACCGTGCCTTCAATACCAAAACGAGAGGTGAGTCTTGTCAGGAGAACATCATGGTCAACCGTGTCGAACGCGGCAGAAAGGTCGAGCAGTAGGAGTATGACACAGCTACCATCATCTATCGCACGCAATATATCATTCTGCACCTTGATCAACGCTGATTCCGTACTGTGTCCAGGTTTGTAAGCCGACTGGAAAGGCTCAATCAAGTTATTGTGTTGTAAATAGGTATTCAACTGTGAAGCAACGGCTCRCTCACATACTTTTGAGATAAATGTRAGATTTGAGATTGGTCGAAAGTTATTGAACAGTTCAAAATCAAGTGATGACTTCTTCAGCAAAGGTCTCACTAAGGCGTCCTTCATACAATCAGGCATTATTCCACTTACAAGTGATAAGTTCACGACTCTTTTGTAATAACTGGCAGAAGAAGATCGAGGCAGTTCTTTAAAATTGTCACAGGAACCGGGTCTAGAGCGCAACACTTTAAAGTAGTGCGGTGGATAATTTCGGACAATTCATCAGTTGTAACAGACTTGAAATTACTAAAAGTTGCAGACGGCAAAGTATCACTCAGGTAAGGTAGAGTGCTCTCAGTTAGCTTAGACTTTCTCACATCAAGACGACATCTTATGTTTGATATTTTACCGGAAAAGAAATCAGCAAAAGCATCAGCAAGCGCCTTTGGATCGTCCCACGTAGGAAGCTTACCGTCGTCTTTCAGGTGGAGCAGGCTGCTAACAGCAGAGAACAGTTTCTTTGGGTCGGATTGGTTTTCCTCAATAACACCGGAGTAGTAATGCATCTTGGACTGAAAAATCAGCTCATTTACTAGTGTGCACTGGTTGACGTACAGCTCACGATGGACAGTGAGACCTGTAGCACGCCATTGTCGCTCCAGCTTCCGACGTTTAACTTTCTCCTCATTGATTTTCTCACTATACCAAGGTGCAGCCGGACGAAGCGTAATACTGCGCTTTTTAAGGGAGGCATGCATATCCAAAAGTGAAGATAACATACTTGAATATTTATCAGCTAGAACTGACACGTCATCGCAGTCCATTGCAGGCAATATTGACGAATTAATGTCATCCCTCAGTCTATCCATATTAATAGATTTGACTTTCCTGTAATAGATGTCCTTTGTCTCAAATGAAGGTTTGGTAAGAGATAGAGAACAGTTAACTGCGTAATGATCGGAAATAACAGGATCAGACACATAGAAATCTTTTGCAATACTTTCACCAGCCCTGGTTATAATGAGGTCGAGCGTGTGGCAGTTTCTATGGGTGGCGTCAGATATGTGCTGCTTCAGATTAAAGGTTTCAAGCAAGGTGGTGAATCTTTTGGCGGAAGAATCAGTAGCGTCGTTTACATGGAAATTAAAGTCTCCAACCAGAAGTAAAGCACCTGATGCTGTAATACGTTCCTCCAAGAGCCTTGGGAACTCATCGAAAAATAGACCATTAGAGTTCAAGTTAGTACTAGATGGTGGAGGACGGTAAACAACAACGATACGTAGGCTGGTAGATGAATGCTTCATAATTAAGTCAGTAAATTCAAAGGATTTGAATTTATGCTTGATTAATGAATTTCTCTTGAACTTTAGCAATTTCTTATAGAGAAGGGCAACACCACCACCTCTTGAGCCTCTAGGCACGCTGTACAATTCGTAACCAGTAGGACAGACATCGCGAATAATCTGCAGATCAGAGTCGTCAGCACTAAGCCAAGTTTCAGTCAAGGCCAATACATCAATGTTACGATCAACTATGTAATCTTTCAGATGGTAAAGACTTATTTCTAATGGATCGAGTGTTCAGAAGAGTAAACGCCACAGGTTTAGCAGTAGAAGGTTTAGGACCATGCAATCGGTAATCTCCTGATCGTAATCAGATTGTTACTGTTTACAGCATTCTTTTTCGAAGCCTGCGAAGAGCCATAGGTGTCAAAATGAATATTTAATTCATCCTTGAAAGGAACTTGAGATCTGAAGATATTGCTGTATTTAGAGTTCTCTAAAGAAACTGTGGGAATATTGGAACATAACGGTCGGCGACGATGCATACCTCCTCGTTTGCCTCTCTTAATAGCTAACAAACCCAAAGACTTGATATAACTCCAAGCAGGTAATGGCAGGGGCATCGACGTGGAACCATGAATGTTTGTAYATTTCCAGAAATAACGAAGCGAAAGCAAAGTATTTCGAGAGTAATGCATCACTACTTGCTTTCTTAAAGTACTTAAGACTAACAGACTCAAGTAAAATAATTGAGTCACTAAAAATAAAGCTAAAAAATGTAAAAATGTCGAGAGCTAAGAAACTAAGCAGCCAACCACGGGCGCATTTATCTGTGTTTTCGCGGATATATGGTATGCACTCTAAGATTTCTATTAAGTCTAAGTTCAGTAGACCTCAGTAGACCGTAGACCTACAAAACTTTGCATTAATTTGTACAATTTCGTTAGACAAATATTGAATTGGAATCTTACTTGAGAGCTTCGTAGACTTCAGGCGTCAAATATCGAGCCATTAGGTTATTATGAATACTAAGATCAGGATAACTATCGTAAGCTGGATGTCTCATGTATCCGTCATTTCCTTTTCTTTCTGTCCTCCATTCATTTTCCCTCTTCCGCCACCAGTTGTAGAATTCTTTTGACAAATACACACCACATCCTAGAGCAGTGAGAGCAAGTAAACGCTTAGTTATGTTCGATTCTTGTTCCATGTCGACTAAACCGAGTAAATTTACCAACAACGATTTGTTTCTACTCGTCCGCCTTTAGGTTCTAAAAAATGTTCAGTTTTAGCTTAGTTGGTTGCTCGACTCAACTGCTCGCGCAAGTCGATTTTCTTTATTGACGTCATGTCATTAGCAAGTTGCCAATACGCGCGGGATACCTGTGTTCACTGTGACTGACTCATTGCTATATTGGTATAAGCCTTTTCATAGTTTAAGAATAGAATCCACTGCGCATGCGATTTTATCCCGAATTTCTCACCTTCTTTTGTTTAATTAAGAACAAAAGAAGGTTTAGACAAAACAGGGTGAGAAATTCGGGATAAAATCGCATGCGCAGTGGAATCGATTCTTAAACTATGAAAAGGCTTATTCCTGTGGTATTCCACAGGAAACCCATATTACGGATAAAAGCAAACGAAGCTCCGGAAGTTGTTTTCCAACATGACTGACGTCACGCACTAAGCTCGCACGCATCAGTACGTGCAATGTTTCTTTTCTCTCTTTCTATTTTTCATGACTTTTGCTTTTCTTTTCTTTAAACATGGCGGAACATTAAATAAGGAAGGCGGACATACAGTCTGAATGGAAACTAACTATAAATGTCCTTCATTTTTTGTACTAGGATTTTTATCATCATCAAAAAACTAAAATCTTCACTCTACAAAACTGTTTGTGTAAGATTTTGTTTACACCGTTATAAGAAAAGCTTAACGAATTTTTTWTTATTATATATTATTAATGTTTGGTTTTAGATTTATTGCGAGTCTAATTCTGTCACGCAATTCTGTCACACATTTTCAAAGCATTAGAAATAGGGAAATTTGTTTGTAATAATACGTTATTAACTTAGTAAATCATTGTTAACTTTATTTTGTTGCTAATTGCTATTGAAAATTTAAATTGGTTGCAATAGAAACATGATTTCCAACGTTCGTGATTTGGCCGCCATGTCGGTGGGCCTCAATGGTAAACCAAGATGGCGGACCATAAATTTCAACTAAATTATGAGTATAATCAATCGCTCGTATCTTCGTATCTAAAACTTATTTCAACTAAAACTTTGGCTGAGATATACAGTCTTGGTTGCTTATTGGTTTAGTTTTGTTTTGTATAAGTGCTAGGAAAATTTTCGATGACGTAGGTGAAA